GTGCAATGATATAATCATTGTTGCTACAGTATTCATAGAGCGGAGCAAGTTGCACATCACGGTACCATGTACTTCTATGGGCTCTGAAATGCCGATTGAAGAGCTGGTGAAAGCTAAAGTTGAAAAAACAGCACAAACTTGACTGAAGTAATTATGAGCAATAAATGTATACATGTTGTACATGAAGGGGACAATTTTTTATCTGCCCTTGCTTTCACTGTGATGTATGCTTGGTGTTGAAAATATAGGATAGTATCACTTTCCAATTCACTTTTTACCTGGGGTGCCAACTGTTGTAGGTCTCATGCCACTAATCAACCAATGGCAATTTAAATGCCTTGTAAGAACCAATGAAATTTTTTAAATATTTTTTTTTCTCAGGTGCTCCCTGTTTGAGGGCGTAATCACCTGGGTCAAAGGTGATACCAACATGTGGTCTTTTGTTTACTACTTTGCGACTGTGTACCTGTGGGTTTATTCTGTATGTATTTGGATGTTCTAATCTTGGTGTTTTTCCAGTGATTTCTCTTGGTGCAATCCAAATACAGTAGGCGTCTTTTCCTGAGATTTGCAAGAGTTTGAGCTGGCCAACATGTTAGTTTTTTTCATATGGTTGATTACTGGCATGTTGATTTCCCATTTTTGAGCCATGTTTTCAACTTTCTTCATCATTTTCATATAGCAATATCGTCATATGTTAACATTGTTGTCTATGGAAATTCAATTAGTGGTATGAGCCCTGTAATGTAATCATAACACTTGAAACATTTACACAAATACAGAATTTTAAAATTTTTATAAGAAAACTTTTATTTACTATGAGCACACAGTTCAAGACAAATAAATAAGTGAGAAAATCCATGCACTCTATAAAAGTAAAATCCAGTGGATTTGTGAAAAATTGTGTAAAACATGTCTAGATTGTAGCAAACACAAGATGCATTAGTTCAACATAGTACAATGAAACGAGTGTAATCAATATCCAAGTAAATAGAACCAGTCCAAATCCAGTCTGATGTGGTATCAAAGTAAAATAAAACCAGTCCAATTCATTTATCATGAAAAGAACATCTAAAAAATAGTTGGCGAACAAGTTAATTTTAAAATTAATTAGTTATTTCATTAAACTGAATTCACAGACTAAATATTCTAAATTAAATATAAGTAAATAAATAAAATTGAATGTTCACCAGGGATTGGGATAATTCAGTTAAAATAATTCCTTCAGTTATTGAGTAGAATCTTAAGTATAAAAAAAAAAAAACTTTATTTTTCACCCGGGATAATCCTGTAAACATGTGATACCAGCAGTTACTAAAAACAAGTAGCCTCTCGGCTGAGACAGCTCCGCTGTTAGCAATGCACATTTCAATTAAAGAACAGAAGATTAGAAAATGAACAATATGCATAGTATCAATGCTATGGGACTTGTTTTCAACAAGGATTCAAAAATATCATTTTCCACCATAAATGATTGTGGTTTTTAACAAGAAGTCGAAAATATCACTTTTTACCAAAAATGACAAAAATATTCACCAAAATTAGAGAATTGATGATATCATTAACAAAATGAACAAATCTGAGAGAGGTCCACATGTAGTACCTATATACATAATATCAAAGCAAATCGACTTGCGGTTTTTAACAAGAAGTTTAAAATATCACTTTTTACCAAAAATGACAAAAATATTCACCAAAATTAAAGAATTGAAGATATCATTACAAAATGAACAAATCTGAGAGAGGTCCACATGTAGTACCTATATATGTAATATCAAAGAAATTGGACTTGCAGTTTTTAACAAGAAGTTGAAAATATCACTTTTTACCAAAAATGACAAAAATATTCACCAAAATTAGAGAATTGAAGATATGATCATGAAATGAACAAATCTGAGAGAGGTCTACCCAAGGTACATATACACCAAGTATCAAGGCATTCAGGCTCGTAGTTTTCAAGAAGAAGTAAAAAAAGTAAAACATTGACACGGACGACGACGGACAATCACTCATATGATAAGCTCCGCTCGACAAAGTCGACAACGGAGCTAAAAAAACATTTTGACAAAAAAAAGGTTAATATTCTTTCCAAAATTGATGCATGCATGCTTTTATTTTGAAATTGTCATGTGGATTTTTCCTGAAAACTGTTTTTTAAAGAAACAAACTGTGATGCGCATATTTTTTATATGATGCATGTAGTGATCATGATGAATTACTAATATTTCAGGGCCTTGTTACACCAAAAATTTATAAACTTATAAAGGAGATAAACGCATGATAGGGGATGAAGATTCCATATGAATTTGCAAGACAAACAACAAAATTGTACATTTCATTTTGCACATGTCCATGTTTTTAATTGACATGTGCATATAACTTCTGCGGAATCTGATATTCATCGCATCACACCATGCATGAATACCCTTGTAAGTCTGTGTGTACAAACAATAGATTTTCAGCAAAAAAAAAAATGGCAGCTAAAAGAAAAATGTATTTTACATTCATGAACTGGTGTGGGTCAAACGACACGACAATAGTGAATAAAATTTTACAATGTACAATTTGAAAAAAGACAAATTACAGAAATGAGTTGTTAAGTACAAATTTACATTGTAAATAATTAGCTACACTATAAATAATGATACAAAATTCACTGTAAATTTTGAGTATAAAATATTTGCACAAGAATGCAGTGGTAAATTTCCAGAAACAGATTTGTATTGAAACAGCGCCCTCTATAGTAATAATTCAATACCAACTGAGGGCGCTATCACAGCCGGTTTAGGATTTAAAAAAAAATAATTAAAAACAGTTCTAGACAGAAAACATTAAAAATGTAGACATGCTCTGGAAATATTATTTATACAAGTTTTTAGAATGTATAGGAGTCTGGGAGTTTCAAATCAAACTTGATTCCCACTTTTGTTGAGCATTTTAATTTTTTCAATAATGAAATAATTATAATTCAGAATTAATTTCCAACTCAAAATACAGAATATTGATAATTTTTCAACGGAAACAAATATTTATTGGTGATAAATAGAATAGCAAAAAATTAATATAATTTGAAGGGATTAATTTGTCAATGAAATTTGGTGAACCCTCTCTACAATCCAGCCCACACCCCTATTTTCAAATGATGAGAAAACTTTTATAATTCATGAAGTATGTTGGTTTTACCAGGTAGTTAAGGGGACTAGAGAATTCCAGTTAAAACAGGTCTAAACCAGTTTAAACAGGTTAATCTAAAAATCTCGGGTAAGTTTATTACAGATAGCTATTTGTAGGGAGAAGCAGCACATTTTAACAATGAAATGTTATTTTGATTTTACGCAGAGAAAAGATTTCTACTTGAAATGCAAACCATGTGACTTCTTTATGATGAGAACATAGAAAATTAGAAAATGTCACTGGTAATCCGGATCGCGTGTGTTCATTTCCAAAATCAAAATTATCCAGCACTTTGAGGTAAAAAGTTGGAGATGTAATTGACATTACACATTTACTTTGAATACCATTATTTCCCTTAAAGATGTTGGAGCAACATTTTACCCTTTTTTTACGTTACTGTAGAATACTTTATTTTCGCTTGGAATTTATTTTCGCTGAAGGGATGATTCCGTGAAAATAAAATCCAGCGAATATACTTTTTTTCCTAAATTTCACATTAAACTCATCAAAAATCAGTGAAAATAAATTCCATACAAAACGCCCAAAAAGCCTTTTCAGTGAAAATTAATTCCAGCGAAAATAAAGTATTCCACAGTATTTTTTTTATAATGTGTTGATAATATGCATAATTTCCAAGTGACTTATTCAATATTTTTCAAAGATGATAACAATTATGCAAGTTTATTCTGTGAAAAACAAATTTGTGTTCAAAGAGTTAAAAGGTAGAGGTTGTCCAATGCTTCCAGTTGGATGTTAGACCTGTACATTGTTTAATTTCACAAAGTTCGAAAATGTGCTGCAAACTGCCCTTTAAATATGCGCCATTGGAAGGACCATTGATTTTGTCATTGCATGCCTCCACAGACATGTAACAGTGTGTCTGTAAAATGTTATAAATAATAAAACAAATCCCGCTTTCTAATACTGATAGCCGCCTTATTCCAGGAAATCCAAGGAAAATGTCAATCTTTCCAGGAAAAATTCACGATGTTTTTATATAGGATGATCAATGTGGCTGTTGTGTCGTGTTTTCCGCACTGATCCATCGTCATGGTCTACTTGTCCATTTTGTGATTTAATCAAAGCGTCAGTTTTATCAAAATCTATCATTGCATACATCACAGCTTTTTTATTCGGCGTTTCTGGTAACAGCGTTTTCGGAGTTCTTGGAGACGATCCAGGAGAGTTTGCCTCTGTCCTGGTGTCTAAATTCTCCAAGTCCAGCTGAATATAATTAACTTTCTTTTTAGGAGGCGGTTGAAGTACAATTTTGGAAATTCCATTTCCATTCCCGATTCCGGCAGCAACTTGATCCAGGTTGGCGTACGTATGATCAGTAATATTGGATGTTTGTAGTCCATTTTGAGGGCTTGTGTTGTGACTCGCAGACGTCACTCGGCTGAAACACTGAGGGGGTACTTCCCCCAGCATGTCCAGATTTGCATAGCAGTGATTGGGTGTAGTTGGTGATGCCCCAGCGGGTGAACTTGTCATAGACCCTTGGGTAAAGTTAATGAATTTACTCTCCTCAATTTTTGCGTCTTCATTAAGATCCAGTCTGGCATAATTCACATCAAGTCCTTTATTATGTTCGTTGTGTGACAATGATTTCTGGATGTTAATGTGGATATTAGATGGCATGACCTGAAAACAGAAATAATTCTATCAGATTTCACATCTTGGCATCATGCATTATCAGGGGGGGGGGGCAAAATGGAAAATCAATGCATGGTTAATATGGCTGCACCATTATTTCAGCGGGGGTTAACAGTTATGGAAATTCAGTGCATAGATAGGGTTGCCCTATTATTTCAGCGGGGGGTGAAGGTTAACTGTAATGGAAATTCAGTGCATAGATAGATAGGGTTGCACTATTACTTTAGGAGGGGGAAATAGAAAAGAAAAATCAGTAGGCACTATTCATAGCCCTACAAATTGAAACCCCAACCCTACCCCAAATGTTGAAAGTACCTTGTCACCATAGTGTCGCGCACAGTGAGGATAATTTTTTTTTCTCAGCATGTTACTCATTTTCACACATTCCTAATGCATTGTATGATAGTACAGTGTAGCCTGTACTTTAGTTTACTTTATTTCTCCAAAAACTAAAAAGAAATTGCTTGTGCAAATATAATGTAACAAGTGAAAAAGCGCCCCAATATAATTTTCAAGATTGGTATCTACATGTATTGTATTTCAGGGCCAATGCAATGAAACGAACACACTAAGTCAGAGTTGTTAATGACTATTTACATACTGTGAGGTTAGCTACAAATTCAGAAAATTAAAATTGTTGTATTTTCTTTTTTTCACCTTTTTTTTTTATACCTGTGTCCTCCAAAATACCCCCTCCACGGGTTCATGTAAAATTTGTCAAAAGGTCTTGAGAAACAATCCGGACATCCCATACACCGAGTATGCATTAAAGCAATGATTGATAGGGGATTATTTTTCAAAACAACAGACAAGATTTGGATGAGATTTCCTATGAACTGCAGTAAGTCAAAACGCCCATGGTTTGAAGAAAGTGCACTACCATTTTAAGCTTAGTGAAATACATTGTATTCTAAACAGGTTGAATTGTGCAACTATTTTTACACAAATTCAGTCCATAGTAGAGTTCCTGTTCACACTGTTAAATAATTGATTTATGTCGAGATATGCGTTTTTTTTTTCTTCTCAGAAATCAAATCTAAGATGGCTAACTGTTGTTTCCCCCCTCCTAGAAAATCAAATCCAAGATGGCTAACTGTTGTTTCCCTCCTCCTAGAAAATCAAATCCAAGATAGCTAACTGTTGTTTCCCCTTCTCCTAGAAAATCAAATCCAAGATGACTAACTGTTGTTTCCCTCCTCCTAGAAAATCAAATCCAAGATGGCTAACTGTTGTTTCCCCCTCCTAGAAAATCAAATCCAAGATGGCTAACTGTTGTTTCCCCTTCTCCCAGAAAATCAAATCCAAGATAGCTAACTGTTGTTTCCCCCCTCCTAGAAAATCAAATCCAAGATGGCTAACTGTTGTTTCCCTCCTCCTAGAAAATCAAATCCAAGATAGCTAACTGTTGTTTCCCTCCTCCTAGAAAATCAAATCCAAGATAGCTAACTGTTGTTTCCCTCCTCCCAGAAAATCAAATCCAAGATGGCTAACTGTTGTTTCCCTCCTCCCAGAAAATCAAATCCAAGATGGCTAACTGTTGTTTCCCTCCTCCCAGAAAATCAAATCCAAGATGGCTAACTGTTATTCTCCCCCTCCTAGAATATCAAATCAAAAATGGCTAACTGTTGTTTCCCTCCTCTTAGATGGCCAACTGTTGTTTTCTCCCCAGAAATCAAGTCAAAAATAGCTAACTGTTTTTCTCCCAGAAATAAAATCCAAGATGGTCAACTGCTGTTTTTTCATACTCAGCGTTGATTGATCTGACATTTACGTGGTCACTGAATTCTGACAGTCTTTTTCAAGGAATTACATCTAAAAATCGCCAACTGCTGCCAAAAATGTGCTTTAACATCAATCAAAAATAGGCATTACATGCAACGAGTTCAGAGTACAACAACCGTCATGGTCGATGACCTAGATAATAAATGAGTCTTCTACACTCTAGAACCACCAGACATGTTCCCGCCAAAAGCTGGACGCTAATTTGGTTAAGTCTTTGTAATTTTCAACAAGTTGGACTTCAATTTTGGACCAAACAACTAGAATTTGATATTATTAATAAGCTTTGAGTAAAAGCTCTAAAGAGTTGTTCAAATGTTACCCATTAGAAATCATTGAGAGGGGTAAATTGGGTAGAAATCAGAGGAGGGGGGTATGCAGCTGTCATGCAAATGCTTGTATTTTATTTTATCTTCACTCAAAACAATTTCAATTTCTTTCACAATATCCTCTATGTCCTCTTTAGTTTTCAGTTTTTTTGGAAAAATTAAAAAATGGTTCACAAAACTTGGGAGATGTTCTGCAAAATTACAAATGATGTAGGATGAATAATATTAAATCTTTGTTCATTTCAGATTGGTTTGAAGGAGAAGAGGCAATATCTATGTTGTAACAGGGATGTCCTATTTTATTTATTTATTTACTTTCTTTGCTTCTTGGCTGTATTAAAGTTACAGGTCAAAGGTCACATTATGACTGTGCACACACTCACTGTGGGGCCCAACGTGGGGCCCATACATGGAACATACAAGGGGTTGATCATTTGAAATCATGGAGGGTGGCTGAAACAAAAATTGGCAAGCTGGACACTGAAAAAAACATGCATGCAAGGTGTCGCTAAAAAAAATATTGATACAATGAAGAAAATGAAAACATACAGATAAGACATTGTGAAAATGCAGTCGTCACACTCTTTCAGCCACCCCCCCCCAATATTTAAAATGATTGACCCCTAGACTAGATCAAATGGGTAATGTATATTTGTATCTAAATCTCAATGGCCATAACGACTATCAAAGTTTAACAAATTACTTTTCTGGGCAGTAGTACTATTTTTTATATTGAATTTTTGCATTCAATTTTTTTTTTTTTGATTCTTGATTCAGAAGGGGTCATCACCTGCGCAAGCGAAGATAACAACGCATGCTAAAAATGCAAAGGCTCATGGGTAGACACTTGTTTGTAAACAATGACACGCTATGGCTATCTGATGTATGTTCCAAAAAAAAAAATCAATTTTGAAGCAAATACTTGATATAATTTGATATATCTCACTGTTATTGACTAAAATTTTTTAAACCATAATTACAATTTTCCAAGGAAATCAAGAAAGAGTTCAGGAAAAATTATAGAAACAAGTAATGTTTGAGAGGGGTCCATTATGTCATAAATTCCAGTCTGATTGTCCAATCACAGATTCAGATGATGTTATTTGATATGCATTGATCCAATCACAGGCAAGATAAAATCACCTGATCTGCAATGGTTCAATCACAGACAAGATAAAATCACCTGATCTGCAATGGTCCAATCACAGACAAGAGAAAGTCACCTGATCTGAAAAGTGTTAGTATTCGGTAAGCCAAGCAAAATGTTGCTACAACTGTTTATGTCATTACTTATTTTAAAAATAAAATGTGAAATCTCAAATATTCTTAAAACAAATTTTATTGAAACAAAAATTAAAAATTCATAAATCAATCATGCAAAATTAGAAACTTAAAAATTTTAAATATTTGGCATGTACCAAAAACACTGCTCCACTGACGCATTCTGAAACATTTTTACTAGTCATGTGATATCTACTAGGTATAATACAACATACGCTTAGCTTTATTTTACAGAACATTTTTCTTCATAAATGATCATTTTAGATTCTATATGTTATATTTTCAGTTAGCATTGTATCCGAACTTTATTAAAAAAATCTTATTTATTTTTTTTTATAATTTCTCTGGATGAGTCATTCATCTTTAACTTTCTTCTCACTTGTTTGTTAGTTTGTTTGTGCGTGTCTACTATTACCGTACACCTCTTGCTATAGCAAAGTTTATGGATTCAGGTCTCATACCACTAATTAGTTTTTTTTTTTAATGTTATTGTTCAAGTGAATTTCTCTAAAATGTTTTAGTTTGCTGAAACCACATGTTCGCCGGCTCAAACTCAGATTAGTTTGGTTTTCTACTTTCAATATTCTCAGAAAAGCAGCCAGTTTTGTTGTATCTAATCGTTCCCCAGATCACTGGTACTTGTTAATAATAACAAAGTCTCCTACACGAGTTAAACAGCTGATGTATTTGAAGTATGCCCTCTTACTTCTCTTCTTTTTTTTTAAAAAACATTGGGGAAAAAGCCTATTTGCCAACAACCATATGATTTGTGGCATGAGACATTATAAATCAGTGATTAGTAAATAACACCTCAACTAAGAACTGTACCCAGGAAAGAAAGTGAAAGTGGCTCTCATTTAGACTCGACTATTTTCACTGGAAGAAATTGTTGACGATTTAGGGTAATCTATCAAGATTTAATTTCCTGAAATGACTATCAGCTTAAAAAAAAGTGATTTTACAAGAAACTTATTCGGTTGAAATATAGGTAATATAAGTCAGTATACATTTAGTGTGAAGTATGAGAGACAGAGCACAGTAAAACACTACAACATTGACACTACCGCAAAGAATATACATAAATTACATGTTTTCTCACACATGTACTATAAATAAATTTTGATGTAAATAAAATAAAATAAAGTAAAAGAAAAGAAAGAAATTGGTGCTCATATACTAGGATGTGCTAAGGTCATGAACTCAGGTTACATACAGATTTGGTACGTTACATAAATTAAATATATCATTGCATAGAAATAATTATTAAAAAAAAAGTTTCTTTCAAACTTAGAAAAAGTTGTTGGCAGTGCAATATGGAACCACTACGACTGTTGTGTTTCACTCTCTGTACCCACCTCCTCGTTAGCTAACGACCCTGGCGAATTTACGTAATTATGCATATCTGGAGATGTGGGCGATGTCGGACTACTTGGTGTTCTCGGCGTGGCACTTCCAGGGGGTGTATTATCTAGAACCATACTCCCATTCACGTAATGAGGACTTGAAGATCGTGCCCCGCCCGTAGATGATATGGAACCGCTAGAATGTTCACGTATTATTCCGTTGGCTCCTGTAAGTGAACTTGAGCGGCTTGCTGCCTGATGTTGGCTCCCTGTGTCATCAGCCTGGCCTTGTTTCTCAACATTGTCCTGCACTAGGTTGAATAACTGTTCAGCTCTCTTACACTTGAATGCATATATACCTAGAATAACAATATCAACAAAATAATTTAGTTTTCAACTCACTGAGATGAAATTGATGCATATTACAGGATTGGCAGTACTACAAGAGCAGTAACGAAAGGGTAAGTTTCTACTTTGTATTATTATATACAGAACACATCCCACTGCCTGATTATTGCGATCATCAGGGAAAAATGATGAAATCAGTTACTATGGCAACAAGTTATGAAATAGTGGAAGCACTGAAGGTCATGGGTCTAATCACCAAATCAAACATAAAAGCAACATTGCTTTATTTTAGAAAACACTTCTAAATTTGTTTTAAGCGAGAGGGTCGTCACCTGCGCACACGCGGGAATTGAGTCCCAAGCAATGATAACAACACACTCTAAAACACAAAAGGCTCATGTGTAGATGCTTGTTTGTAAACAATGACAGGCTATGGCCATATGACTCATGCGCAAGTGACGACTCCCCCGCTTTAAACCCTTGTTATTCTTATGGAGAGAGGATCAGTGAAAGGTATTCTACAGGTTATAACATATTGAGAATGAAACTATCACTATTTTATATTTGTTTTTAGTTTTGTTCGATATGGGTCTCAGGTGATTTATACAACATCTGAAACGCTTTAATAACTGTTTCCATCACTATCGTCATCGACAGGTGGAATCTGCTAAATTAAATCTAAGTAACGATGCAAAATTACAATAGAACGCATTGTGTCAGTAGAAAATTCAGGAAATTAGACCAAGTGAATATAATCAAAATAACCACATAGCGAAATTATTGCTTATCAAGTGCTGTTCTCACTTAGAGGAACATCCAACGACTGGTTATCTCTAAGCTAAGAAAGAAAATAACAGTTGATTCATCGTTCTTGTGATGCCATATTTTGGGCATCAGTACTTATGATGTCATCATTGTTTGGGCATCAGTACTTATGATGTCATCATTGTTTGTGTATCAGTACTTATGATGTCATTGTTGTCTCATCATGCTCAGATACAAAACTTGAATTAGATATATTTAAATCGTCCATTTTCCATTCACTGCATGCGAGGACAAACGTCCCATGGTATTCGACAAATGCGAAAATATTTTGGGAGATATTTTCATGCTTAATAATGTTCTGTACACATTTGATGATGGTCAATTTCAAATGCAATATTCCCACGTCAAAGATTGGCCTTTCGATGAGAGCTTGTAAATAAAGAAATTTGAGTTAAATTTTTGTGACAGATGTTCGGTGCGCGTCTTTCATGCAACTCGCAAGATCAGTTGAACAGAAAATCACTTATTTACTTCACCAGGATAGGTGAAAGGTCAATTCATTTTGGCTTTCTACGACTTCCCAATGACATACTTTGAGCTCTGCTTGGAGGCTGACAGAAAGAATCTATTTTCTCATTAGGGACTGACCAATAAGAAGGTTGTGCAATTTTTATTTTCACGATAATGTTGCTGTGATTTGTTTTTTAGTTTTTTTATTATCAAGTGTGCGCAGGTACTTTTCCTGTCAACCACTTTTTTTTATTTATAGTCTCTAAGTCAAAACCCCTGACTATTTTACAGTGATACTTAGACACAATTAAAACTATATTTTTATTTTACCAGGACCAGTTGGACATCTTCTTCCACTTTCAAAAGAAAATAGTTCGGCATCAAATCCATAGCGTCGTAGACATCTTAATGGCCACCTCACAGGATCTTTGCCTTTTTGATATAAAATTAAATCAGCTAGTCCAACTTCAATTGTACCACTGCCAAGTTCTCTTCCATCGTCATCTACATTCTTTACTTTAAACATTGATGGATTGAAATCTTTATCCAGTTCTCCCTGTACACATTGATTACCCATTCTGGCACAGAAATTTACTTAAATCTGAAGAGAAGAGAAAAAAAAAAATTGAGCAACACTTAGCCTTAACATTTATACCCCTTATCTTGTAAAATCAATGTAAAATCATTTTTAATATTAGTTAAAAGTATGTGAATTTTGTTGGTTCACTGTCAATCTGTTTTTTGATGGTATTCCCATAATAGTACAAGTTGTTAAAGAAAGGCGTTTTCTTATTAGTGTGTATCATTTATGCATATAATTACATATCTCATATACTTTGATATCATTTAATTATACATGGTATTCCCAGATTAACACCGGTTGTTAATGGCACATATATACAACATTAGATTCTCAACTGCGATGAAAAGACAGGTTCCTTCCACTCAATGCGAAAGCCAATCATCGCGAAGCTACTTTTTGGGAAAAAAAGAAACAGTAAAATAATGTGCATAAAATGCCATCTTAGCAGCGATTTCCATAGACCACAATGAAAGCACATTTCCACATTAAAAAACCTACTGAAAATATTGTCAACTTCTAGACATCAAAAAGTACCTTGAAGACACTGAGTATATATTCTTTTTTCACCGAGCAAAATTTTGAGATATATTCTTGCTATAGGAAATAATTGTAAAATGCCCTAAAACAGACAAAACATGTTCAGAGAAAAGACAGTGCTGAGTTCAGTGACTTGTACCATTCATAGAATAATGTCATTAGATTTTAGAGTTTTGAATCAATACGGTACCAAATTTGGAGAGAAGGTTGTACCGAGTTAAGTACTGTTTGTTGAGTAACATTGTAAAATTTTGAGTTTTAAATCAATATTACCATGTGCGGAACCATAGACAACACTGTCGTAGATGTATAGCACTGATCATAGTAATGTACCATACATACATGTATATGTAAAATAACACTGTAAAATTTTGAGTTTTAAATCAATACGTTACCACATTTGAAGAGAAGAAGGCACTGAGTCAGAAATATATTATCCCATATGTAGAGTAAAACCATTAAATTTGGAGTTTTGTATCAAAACATTAACATATTCAGAGAAAAGACCTGATCAGTGCGTCAGGTGCACAGTACTGTTCACAGAGTAACATCATTAAGACGACTTCTGGGGCTGTATTATCCACGTATCCATGACCTTTCCACAAAAGGCCAGGAGACATCAGATACTCCTATTTATATAGGGAATACTATCCACCAAGGGCAACTCATTTTATTAATCTTCAAATGTCAAAACTGTAATACACTGTAGTCGTCGTCATCAGAGTGAAAATACGTCTATTACGTTATACATCTATTTCTCTTTAGAATAATAGTCGATGACATTTACGAATAGAACGCATGTAGCTTTAAGAGCCATACCGCATAACTCACTCAAAGAAAAACTTTATATTTGTGTATGACTGCGCGTCAGAGTGAATGACCTACTTGATTTGCTATCAGTATTTGACTGAATTTGTATGAACAATACAAAGTTTATGTAATTTGCAAAACAAGAACAAGTTTTGTGAACATATTTAATATTAATTGATTTACTAGTATAGTGAAAATACTACATGTATAAGCAAATCAGTTCAACTTTAATTCTACAATTTTTAAGAGTCGGTGAGAACCATGACATTTTTCTGGCTCCTACAAAACAAAGTGAAAGCAACTTTCACGAAATTTCATTTTCATAAATGCCATAAAATCATTAAATCTTGAACATTTCTAGCAGCGAAAATTAAACAAAGTTCCAAATTAAGAATAAAGTACTAATTACCGTAGTATTGTACAATGGATATGGTATTCCTCAAATATTTAAAAATGTTAGCAGCGTTTTTTTTTTTAAATACAGGACAATTATTATTTTGTTAAAAGCTGGAAAATTTTATGAAGAATAAAGTTGATTTAATATCTCTTTGTAAGCATATACAATGAAATGCAATGCAGTAAAGCAGGGATATAGTTTTCTATTTGTTTACACTTAGTAGGGTATCTGTACTGGATATGGCACATAAAAATATACACCACACCCTGAAATCAATCCTCACAACATGCTGGGTAAACCCCTTCACCAACATTGTAACTTGTGTCCTCTCGCAATATAGTTCCAAATCATGTGCAGTAAAACATGCTTTTTAACTGGTATATTATTCTTGACAATTTAATGGGCTACAAGTATTATTGGGGAAAATTAATTATAACGCAATTCTGACATTTAGATTTCTGATATATTCAGCTAAAATAATATATTCAGAATTTATCAAAATTCCCTAAAATATCACACGTACATTCCAAAATATTTGTTTTCATAATAATTTCCATGTTTGAAACAAAATGTGTATACAAACTTTTGAAAGCCATACAATTGTAACTCATTCAGTTAGTTCCAAAATTACAATTAAAATTAATCAAGTTCATAGAAATGTTGGAGGGATAAAATCCAATGAAAAAAAAAAGGTTAAAAATTGGTGAAAGAAAGGAAAGTATTTGTAGCTTATACATACGTAGTAAGTCTATGAGTTACTTACTATTAATCAGGAACAATGAAAGGGGAATTGGCTGCACTCATGCTCCGATTCAGACTGATGTACTCAGGCTTGTACACACTAAGAGAACATATTTGATTCAATGAAAATCCTAGGAAATGACTATTTTAGGAAATGAATTGTATACATATATATTACCCATGGCTGTCCATCCTTAGAATTAATTATGTTACTCATGCGATGTCATATCCTGTATTGTCACATGTCTGTGTTGGAGTCTCTGAGCCGAATATGTGACGTACATATCCTAGAAGACACCATGCAGTAGGCGGGCTTACACAGACTTGTTTACCGGATGCCAGCCACCATGTGACATTCTGTGTGTGTTCAGCTTCACTTTAAATGTTCACATGGAATTGAACACAAACGAACATAATACTGGCCACATTATCTAATCAGTATCTTTTTCTAATTAAAAACAATTTTAGCTAAATTTTATTGTTATTATTTGGGGGGGGGGGATAGTGACGCTTTTTCTAAAAAAAAAGTTTTTTCGACTAATTATTGAAAATTAACAAATATTTTTGTTTAATTTTATTGATAGTGAACCTGATTAAAATATGATGTACAAAAAGCTCTTGTTGATTTCAATCTGTGATCACAGGTTTATGATTGCCAGTGTACATGCCTCTAACTACATCTGATCAACTACCTATTCAAATCATGTGCTGGCAACTCTAATCTGACAGGATTTGTCAACAAATTAAAGCATGCCTTACTAAAACAGGCTGTGTTATAGTAAGCAGTCTGTAACAGAGGCCTTGATTGGTGGATCCAGAGAAACTAGAACATGATTTACAAAGGTAGTTGTGACCATATTAAAATATTCCCTACATCAGATTTTACTCTGATCAACTGATTGATCGATTGACTGCATAATAAGAAATAATTATATATTCAAAACATTTCAAAACAGAATGCACCTTATATGCAAACAACAGAGACATTCTAAATACAACAGCCAAATCCTGTATCGATGGATTCCAAGATATGACAAACTATAAAAAATGTATACAAAAATGTTATAAAAACACTCCGCTAATCAAAGAAACCTTTAAGTACATTGAACAGTGTTACAACATAAGGAATACATATGCCATATTCTTACATATTGTAAATTATCTCACCTTTGCTATTCACGGATAGTTTTATGATTGCTCAACTATGCAAAAACTTTATTGACTCGTTAACCAAAAAAAGAAATTTACATTATCTTTATGGTATTAATAAAGAATTCTATTCTATTCTATCAGTACTGACCTATCACCAATAAACGTGTTTTACTTTAAGCTAAACAGGTTTTTTAGTTTGACATAACAGTTTGTAATAATAATATATTGTAATTAGGTAAACAATTGTTGTGAATATTAAATGCATAAAAACATGAAAGTTCTTTAGGATTAATATTTACTAAATGTTTATTTACACCGTCGAATTAGTAATGGGGTACAACTATTTTCACTGACATTTAATTTCTCTATTTTGAGCAATTTCACTGGGTTTGTGTTCACAAACTTGGCAGTGAAACAATGAGTTTGATAGTTATTCACATGAATTATTAATTTAGTGATTTTACTTGAATGAAAATAGCAAAATTAAAAACAGTAAATAATTAATACGTTTACAGAATCAGGATGTTAACTTGATATGAGATCCTGAATGAAAGTACACCATGGGGTATATGTATGGGTAGATACAAGCTTTACAAACCACCCACTGGTTGGAAAGACGCTGATAGAATGAAGTGTATTGCTTGCCCAGGGCAGACACGACATATATGTCATGAATCCTGTAGTCACAGGGTAACAATATAACAATGAGAAGGAAAATCAACTGTTATCGAGCTCTTTCCCATTGACGTACATCTTAAAATATATTTCATAACTCACTATTGGAAATACTGTTACAGAAATTACAGACATAATTTTGTATCTCATTTTGATGATAATTAATGCTTACAGTTTTAAGACGTAGATTAAAAGGTCATCACATTAAGCACAGGTATTTTAGAATTCATGCAACACTGTGCCAAAATTACCTTAATTTGTGGTACCAAATTTTGTTACTAATGGAGCATATACCACTATGAATGCCATCATAGTCATTAGAATATCGCTCTATGAATGCCATCATAGTCATTAGAATATCGCTCTATGAATGCCATCATAGTCATTAGAATATCGCTCTATGAATGCCATCATAGTCATTAGAATACCGCTCTATGAATGCCATCATAGTCATTAGAATATTGCTTTGTGAATGCCATCAATTTTCCTTCCAAATTCAACTGCTGGGGCAGCATTTTGGAGTCAAAGCTACTTATAAGACTGTGGCCGATTGGTTAGCCAACAATAACATCAACAGTTTGACCAATCAGAGAGCAGCTTGTTACCGGTAGTTGACAGGTTTTTTTAACATATCAAATTCTGCCTTGTATATATACTTTGACTCAAACTCATTTTGCACATTTCAAAAACAATTCTACAAAGGCAG